TAATAAATCTTAGCTGTGAGCACAACTATGTATGTGGTGTCCCATGAGCCCTAGCCAACCACTAACCTGGGGGTGGTCTTGGGATGTTCCAACACAGAGAGTTATCAGGAAGATTGGGTAACTTCAATGCTGGGACTCAAAATAGAATTAAACCTCTCCCAAGCAACATGATTGCAGTGGACTGGCCATGTGACCTGAGTCAGAGTAGAATGGTCCTTCTGCCTCATCCTACAGACAAAAATGAACATTGTAAAGCACACTGTCTGAAATGCAGCAAAGGGACAAGGGTAACACTCAAGGAAGACTAAAGAAAAGCTCCCAACTACGCCAGTAGCAAAACCTACTTTGCTAAGAATTAGAGTGGTAAGATTCCCAAAAATTGTGGCAAGGGCCATGGCTAGTCCCTCTAGCAAATCAAGAATACAAGATTTCTGGCATATGAAACAAGACCCCAACTGAAATTGTTAAGGAGCTAATTTAAAAATTTTAAGGAAGTTATCTAAAAAGTGCCTTCGGCTCAGGTCATGATCCTGGAGTCCCAGGATCAAGTCCCACATCAGGCCCTCTGCTTATCAGGGAGCCGGCTTCTCCCTCTGCCCCTTGTCCCTTTCATGCTCTCTCTCTCTCTCAAATAAATAAAATCTTTAAAAAAAAATTAAAACACAAAAATGCGATCCTAGAATTTAGGAGAACATTCTGAGCTATATAGATGGAGATGTGGGTGTGTGCAGAAAAGATACCCTTAGGCCTACATGTAAGATTGACCTTGGCTGGTATCTAGGAACTTGATTTGGGGAGGGTTTCCACCATTCCCTTACTGATAAAAGTGCCTCAATGTACCTAAACTATGTAAACAATATGTTTTATGCTTAATATTTCCTTTCTTTTTGGGAGTCTAGAATTTCAGTACACGACAGGCAGAGGTGTCTATGTGACCAACCCCCAATAAAAACCTTGGGCACTGAGTCTGTAATGAGCTTCCCTCGCAGACAACAGTTCTCTCGTGTCCCATTGGGTGCTGGAGGAATGTAAGTGTGTCTTGTGTGATTCCACTAGGATAGGACTCTTGGAAGCTTGCCTGGTTTCCTCCACACTTCATCCCATGTGCCTTTTCCCTCTGATTTGTCTCCTTCCCTTATAATAAATCTTAGCTGTGAGCACAACTATGTATGTGGTGTCCCATGAGCCCTAGCCAACCACTAACCTGGGGGTGGTCTTGGGATGTTCCAACACAGAGAGTTATCAGGAAGATTGGGTAACTTCAATGCTGGGACTCAAAATAGAATTAAACCTCTCCCAAGCAACATGATTGCAGTGGACTGGCCATGTGACCTGAGTCAGAGTAGAATGGTCCTTCTGCCTCATCCTACAGACAAAAATGAACATTGTAAAGCACACTGTCTGAAATGCAGCAAAGGGACAAGGGTAACACTCAAGGAAGACTAAAGAAAAGCTCCCAACTACGCCAGTAGCAAAACCTACTTTGCTAAGAATTAGAGTGGTAAGATTCCCAAAAATTGTGGCAAGGGCCATGGCTAGTCCCTCTAGCAAATCAAGAATACAAGATTTCTGGCATATGAAACAAGACCCCAACTGAAATTGTTAAGGAGCTAATTTAAAAATTTTAAGGAAGTTATCTAAAAAGTCCCTAACCAAGTACATCAAAGTGCTAAGATCAAAGCTGGTCACTAGCATCTCCTCAAACCTTTGAGCCCTAACCAAGTACATCAAAGTGCTAAGATCAAAGCTGGTCACTAGCATCTCCTCAAACCTTTTGAGCCCCCACCATGAATACCCACCCACTGCACCAATAGGGAAATTCTCTCTGGATGTCTTTCTGAAAGTGGCCCTAATTCAGGATCAGGGCCAGCCAGATTGGCTGATGAAACAACTTACTCTACATTCAGGTAAGGAAGTCAACAAAGAGATGCTTACAAGACTCGATATTCCTGTCATTCATCCCACTAAGCTTGTCAGCAAGATGTGTGTACATTCTCTACCAGTAATCAATGGCACTTCTTCCCACCTTTTTAGTTTGATATTTATTCTGGTTCACTCTATCAGGTAGATAGAAGTTACATTTATCATTTATCCCATAACCTGGATGGTAAGGGATCACAATTAAACCTGATCAATCCAACCTAATGGAAGAATGGACACCATCCAGGGAAGCAGAACATGTAAGAGTGGCTAAACTGTGTCACTTCACTATACAGACTATATATGAAGTTGGATTATTTCCCACTGGGGAGAATGTAACAATTTTTTGCAATTGCACAGAAGACAGTTTGAATACGGTTAAGTAGGGGCATTTTTTCAGTCAAATGTGTAAGAAGGAAGGGCACATATATACTCGGCAACCAAGAGCTTCCTCGGTCTTCAAATGAGACAGTTATACAACAGAGGAAAAATACATCTGAAAGTGTTTTTTATTTTGCAGAAGACATGTGATTATGTTATTTTAAAAGAAAAAAAAGAGGAAAGAAAAAGTATAGGGGCCAACTCAGAGTCTTCAGAGATGTAATGCTCAAAATAAAACAAAAACCTTGCTGAGAGTAATTATTGTAATTGATCCCTAATTATCTCAAGGGCAGATATGTTCAGGGCCTAATACTTCCATAGTAACCAAAAAGAATTTATGACCTGCCTATGGAGATTGAGGAAACAGTCACCACTAACACTTGCAGTCATGTCTTCTGGAACATCAAACATTTGGCCTTCTCGGTGATGGATGGCTCTGGCTTGCTGGGAAATCATCTTCTGTATTAACAGATAAACCAGCTCTGACTTCCAATGTTACATAGGGTTGAGGAAAGGACCCCAAATGAGCTTACTGCCACTGCAAAGGGAATAATTACCCCCTTCATGTGGAGCACTATTTCTACACAATCCCTTGCTCCTCTGGCCAGACATTATTCAAATGGAGAAGCGCAGAAGATAGAAATTCACCAGAAATTCTTGTGTATGAGTAATACTCGTGAAAAAGCCTGAAACTCAGCTTATTAACTATGATCCTTAACACAGAGTCTTCAGATGGCTCATTTCTTTTCTGGATCCATCCTTACAACACAGATTCTGCTTTATAACTTTCAGGAGCAGCCCCTCTCATCATTTGTGAGACAGGAAAGATGTATTTGCATACGGACATTAATCACAAAGACATGCTACATTAGAAAAATATCTTTACGAAGGAGTAAATTTGACTGAAATCTTCTCAAATCATTTCTGCTTTTCCAGAATGAAACTGAGTGGGAAAAACACAAGCTTTGGAGGCAAATGGTCCTGTGATTGACTGTAAACTCTGCCACTTACTATGTTAAGTGGCAGTAATACTTCAAGGGGATCTTAGGAGGCTTAAATTATAAATTCATTTTAAATACTGAAAGGAAAATAACCACAGAATGAGTAAGAGACAGTCAAGTACAGGTCAATGCTAGTTGAAATGATACAAATCTAGGATAAAAGAGGGAAAGCAGCTGGGAAGCTGACAGTTTTGAAATAGGAGTTTGCAAGACAACCGCACTATGAAAAACAAGCTCTAAGGATGTGGCATGGAATGTAATATTCAAATGAAGAGTTTCAAACTATTTGTTCCTTTCTATATTGGAACCATAAGGGGTACAATCATTGCTAAATAGAAGCTATAAATAAAAAGCCTTTGTATTTGTCATCAGCCCATTTACTGGGAAATGAATGAAAATATTAAATACACTTCTTTGTTCCCAACTAAAATACCAATTTACAAAATATATTAAGCTTTCCTGCCATTTTCAGGGAGATTTTCCATATAATAGAGGATCCGGTTCTATTTCAAATGCCTATTTGAGAGTTCTTTTCGTGCTGGTCCTACCATGTCTTGCAAAGGACTAAGTCAAACAAAGAATCAATGTATTTCTACTTTTTCTTCTTTATCCCTATTTTTTTTCCATTTCCCCCTCTTTTGTTCTCCTCTTGATTTTCCTAACTGACAAACCTGGGGAGGTAGAACTTCCTAAAGAATATTCCATATATAAATATATGGATTTAGTCTCTCGTCATACTGGGAACAAATGGTAACACTCAAATGAGATACATGAATAAGGCTGTATTCAAGATAAATGTCTAAATTGGCATAGCTTGTAACACCTTTCCCTCTTCTATTCGGGTGATTTTCCGTCTGTGAATGTATCACTCTCCCACTTCTTCATACTGAACAAGAAACCAAATAATGTCCTTTTCCCCCAACATTTTTACTTCCTTCTCTTTCCAGTTTCATTGCCATCGCCCTGGATTAGAGAAAACTGAGGATGATAACTGATAATAAAATGATCACAATGGTTCCTTTATTTTTTTTTTTTTTTTTGCTCTCCCTTCCCCATTCCACTGTGTTCTGAACACTACACCACACCAATTTTCCTGAAACTTGAAAGAGGATCTTAGCATTCACCACTAAAATTCATCAAGAGACATCTAAAGTCTGTGAGGTAAAGTTAAATTCCTTAGTCTGGTATTTAAAGCCTTCAAACGTCCCAGTCCCATGTCCTATAACTGAACTATAGAAACCATTTACTCCAGACAAAGTCATAACTCTTACTAAAACCTTTCACTCCAGGTGTTAAATGCAGTCCTTAAAAATTCCTGTGTATGCATCTCATATGATGAACTGAATACAGTTACTAATCAGCAAGTAAAACTAAATCTTAAGATACATGTAAGTCTCACAGAATCTGGTCCTGAGGTATTTGTTCTTGTGATTTTGCCCAAGCAGTATCACCACAGGAAAACTGTGTCATATACTCATAAACAAACACAGAAGTCATATAATTCAGTAACTCATTTTATCAACTGATTTTCAGTTTCTAAGAGCAAATATCCTCTTGCCTATGAAGACAGGGACTTTGTCCTCAGCTAAATCCTCAACACCTGTAACAGTGCCTGCACCTTGTAGGTGCAAAAAAAATTTTTTTGAATAAATAAACCACAAGGAACCAACATAAAAGAATAGTTCACATACAGCTTTAGTTTTAATATTTATTGGTAGAAATAGATCTTCAATGCATACTTTATGTGTGTATATAAATTCTACATTCTCTCTTTTGTTTTGTATTATCTGGAGTTTTCTGGCCTCCAAGTGAACTTAACATATTATCTACGCATTTGATTCTTCAAAGACATTTTTTTTTTTTTAGATTTTAAAAGTAAATTTAAGAAACCATGCATATTGTATACCTTACTTAATATCCAAAGAATTGTCTGCACGTTCAAAAAAGTCACAAAAAGGCTGAACTCAAGTTAAATAATCTATATGTACTAAAATGTCCATGTTCCATTTCTGAGTAAAGAAATACTTTTTCAGTATTACATATTGCTTGCTATCTAGTAAGATTGTCAGAGACGCTTCAGTAAATTATCTCTATTTTTAAATATCTTAATCTACTTCCTCCCAGAGATGATCCTATAAATGTTAAACATTGTGCCATATGCAGTAATAGCCCAAAAGCTTAAATAAGAACCAAACTGTAGTTTTTAGACTGAATAGTTTAACCTTAAAATTATATATCTATATGTACATATATGATATGCTGCATATCAAATTTAACATTTCAAATAACTTAAATATATTTAGCAAACATTCAGCCAAACACTCTTTCATGAAAAGATACTGTCCTTAGAACAAAAAATGAATGAAAGGCTTATTTAGACACCAGTGTCTGCACATGGTACTAAGCCTATGGAACATGAAAGTCCAAGTGACATCTGCTGTGCTATCAAGAAAAGGAAGATTGACTTTTAACCTACTGAATTGTGCAGATACAAAAGTGCTTAGCATGACAAAATTACCAAAATAAAAACATTTTAAAGATTATTTGGTTCTAGCAATCTTAACTATTCTGTACTTATGAATAATTTAACATTTGCCACTTTAAGTTTTATATAAATTTTCTTTTTAACAAGTTAAAAAAGCACACAAAAAATAGTTCAAACTATAATAATCTGTTCTTTTTCATCCTGGTTAGCTCATCACAAATGATTCAACAAAAGAGCGCTTACTCAGCTCTACTAAAATGTACTATTTGAATAGACCCAACACTTCACCCATCGTTTGCTATGCTGGACCCTAAAACAGGCTGCCGACAGATGGGACAAGTGCAATTCTCTGAGAGCCATCGGTCAATACAATGAATGTGAAATTCGTGCATGCAAGGTAATTGCCTGAGCTTGTTTCCAGTTACGTAGTCACTGATACACACACTACAGATTTTACCTAGTTCACTATCGATACTGTTATGCTCATAGTTCCGGGTGGAAAGATTGTCAATCTGCTCTTTGGTTAAACCACGTATGTGATCATCATCATCACCTTCATTCAGTAAAAAGAAGTGAGCAAGGCGAAGGATAGGGAGTGTTCCAGTTTCAACTAAGTTATTTGAATTTCGTGACTGCCTGCCACCTCGATTATCACTGCTTGGGGCAGGAGGCTGGGTGGTCTGGTTTGCACCATGCACTGCAGTGCTGTCTTCTCGGGCCCGCCTGTGTGGGGAGGCACCTTCACTGCGCTGGCTGATGTCATTAGCTGCACCTACGTTACTCAGATCTGAGTGCCTCTCTGGTAAGTGCTGACCATGTCTCTGAATCTCTGACTCAGATTCGGCCTCCATTAAAGAACTCAATTCTCCAAATCCAGTCATGATCTGCCTTAAAATTGACCGAAGAGCCACTGACGACGGTTCAACAAGCTCATTCTCAGAAATCCTACGAAGAGGAACAGTGATAGTACTAACATAGGTCTGAATACCTGACCGCTCTAAACGGGAGATAGTTCGGCGAAAGCCCCCACTGTTGCTTTCGATAGTGACTGTATTTTCTGCCAGCCCTACCCTAGATCGAGTCCTACTTGCAATACTATCCCGATCGCGGTTCTCTCCTGGACGAATCCTTCTCACTTGGAGGTCCAGTGTGATTGTTGGCTGTCGTCGTGCAGCAGTTGAGGATCTGCTGGATTCTTCTCCTTCTTCTACTGTTATTCTTGACACAAGTCTTGAGTTAGAGAATGGAGCATAAGCTGTACCTCGACGTTCCCTATCTTGCTCTAAAAAGACACGTGTTATACCTCTCCTCCTAACAGACCGTCTCGAGTTTTGCTGTAAAGGTCTACTTTCCCTCTGTGAATTACGATAAACAGTGCCACTTTGTCTCTGAATTGGTGAACGGCTTCGACTACTGAAAGTAGACCGTAATCTTATTGGCTCTAATCTTTGGTTTGTGTTCCTCACTGTAACGTTAGTTCTAGCCCCATTTTCCCAAACATGTGCGGCTCCAAACCGCTGCCCCTCCCTTTGCCTGAGTTCACTACCACGCAACTGGTTTGTGTGACCACTGAAATTAGTGTGTGCAGCACTAGCTCTAGGAACACCAATTGCTCCCCCAATTCCATTTCTTAATCTTTCCAATGTTGAGGAAGATCCTTCCACTGAATTCTGACCCCTTGAACCAAGCCTAGTCCTTGGGATGTGGGAACTACTACCATTAAAATTCATTGAGGTTTGGCTTCTTGTTCGCCTAGCCACAGGACTAGCTGATCTTTGTTGCCTACTTGTAGTATGATCTCTGCTAATGTCTGAAAATGGAATGCCTGTATGATCTTCACCATGAATTTCAATTCCTCTATTCTCATGATTTATGTGTATTTCCAGACTAAACCGAAACTCTCCACTGTTTGGGTTTGTTCGACTCACAGCTCTCCAAGTTTGGTTCCCATTTTGTCCACTTCGAGTTGCATTTCCTGTGCGTCGAAAGGTGTTCAACCATTCTAGCAGAGAATCTTCATTTGAATTTTCTCTAGGGACTTCTGACTCTGGAAAGCAAACCAAATCAACTTAAGATCAATTCCTAACATTTACGCTCTTTTATTGAAAGCTTGCAAGATAAAGTTTTAAATTAAGTTATATTTAAGAGCATCTGTGTATATTTTAATGTATTAAAAATGGCAAAAAACTAAACTTTCTCAAAGAAAGTTGTATACTGTAAGTATAATATATTCTTATGTATTATAAAAATATAAATACTGTTTATGCAAAGCCCTGAAAAAAATCCTCACTCTTGCTTTCTCTGTGTCTGTTACTGGCAACTATTAAGGAAAATGAGAAACAGATCCCATACCAAATTCATACATTTAAAATGCTTTATTCATATGGTAAAACCAATTAAATGTAGTGGCAAAATTTATATATAATTCACCTTGAATTTGTGGAATCCTTCTGGTAAAGGTAACTCAGCATTTTTGCAATTACATATTTTTGTAACCTTAGGAATTTTATCCTATTTCTCAGGAACTGCCAAAAATGTGTATCTCAAGAAATATGGCTTTCTGAATACAATGTTAGAACTACATTATGTCTTTATGTGAAGCTGGAAAACTTTAGACATGTTAAAGACTGTATCCTTATCTGTAAATTGGAGATAATAAAAGTATAAATGTCATAGGGTTATCATGAGAATAAAATAAGATACTGCATATAAAATGATTAGTATAATACCTGGCACAGTAACTGTTGGCCACTACCTATAACACATTTTCTGTTCATTTAGAATGTAAGCTCCGTGAAGATAAAGGGTTTTTGTCTTATTTTATTTACCGTTAAATCCCCAACCTCTACAACAGTATCTGGTACAAATCAGACTTCCAATAGTGTTCAATGAATCAATTTAGAAGTAAATGTGTCCCTGATAAGTTTTTTTTTTTTTTTTAGTTCTAAAGATTTTATTTATTTATTTGACAGACAGAGATCACAAGTAGGTAAGAGAGGCAGGCAGAGAGAGAGAGGAGGAAGCAGGCTTCCTGCTGAGCAGAGAGCCCGATGCGGGGCTCGATCCCAGGACCCTGGGATCATGATCTGAGCCGAAGACAGAGGCTTAACCCACTGAGCCACCCAAGTGCCCCCCTGATAAGCTTTTTTGACTACAATTCTGCTACTATGGGAAGCTTGTTTTCCATTTTTAACCAGTGGATCATGTAAAGGGCAAAACTCAACAAAAAGCACTCTAATGCACAGGAACTATACAGACTTTAACCTTAACATTTATTCTACACAAAAATGGCTGTTAAAGGAGATTGATTTCATTTCATTACTGCAATCTCTTATAAAAATGTGTTTTATATGTTAAAGCTATTAATAGGCTTCTGGTGTCAATAAAAATAAACAGCAACTTTAGCCATATCTAAAGATACAAACTAAAACGTAATAAAAGAGATAAGTGTTACCAGCTACAACAATATAGTACAACTCTCATATCTACATATACAGAAGAAAAAAGGTTAATATCCAATTTCCATTTTAATTTGGAAAGAAATAGAAAAGGCAGGTAAAAGCATTCTAAAGGATACTTCCTTCTTTAATTACTAGAATATAGTGATGATGTGTATACGTAAAGAGTTCACTAATTACCTAACAAAACCTGTCCTGCCTTTTTCCCATTGTAAATGCATTGTAATGGTCACGTGAGCGGCCTGGCAGATGGGTGTGGTCATGTAACTGTCATCAATGGAATCAGAGTGGAAGTGATAAGCTCACTTTCAGGCTGGTGCCCGAACCTCCTTCTGGAACCTAGATGTGGCTGTGACTTAGCTTGATCATGCAAACAATACTCTGGAGCAGCAATGTCCAATGAAACTTTCTGCAGTAATGGAGATATTCTACGTCTGTGCTGTCTAGTACAGAAGTCTCTAACCATGTGCAGTGACTACTGAGCACCTGAATAAGGCTAATAGGAGTGAAGAAGTGAATTTTAAAATTATTTAAAATTATTTAATTTTTACTTAATTTACATTTAAATGGTCACATGTGGCCAGTAGCTCCTGCACTCCATTGCACAGTTGTAGAACTACTCTGCTGGCTGGCTGGCTTCCAGGAGGATTACGGAGTAAAGTTTCCCTATCTTCCCTGAACGGTTAACATGAAAGATAAATTTCTATCTTATTGAATCATTACATTTTTGAGTTTTTAATAGTCTTTGCCCTAATACAATAATCTTAATATAGTATGTGAAACTACCAAAAAAAAAAAGAAAAAAAAAAGGTGAAATTATACCAATAATAAATACCTCTGGGGAAGGAAATAGAACTGGTAAGAGCTATATTAAGTTGGCTTTACTTTTAATTCTGTATACTTCTCTTTAGTTTGAATTTTCTTAAAAACTTCTTATACTATGACTTAGTGTTTTTTCAATAAAATGACAAAACAAACTCAAAAACAGTAAAAACAATAAAGCAGGTCTCCTCACTCAGTCTTTCTGTATCGCTCGGTACAAATTTTTAGAAGTGAAGTTTAGTTCCATTACTTTAAAAAAAGTAGTGTGTACATTCTAAGATTAAAAAGAACTATGCTGGTAATTAACTTAATTGTATACTATGAGCTCCCTAAAGGCAATCTGTGTATAAAAAGGTTTTTGTATTCAACCCCTGTCCTATACTGCCTAACTACGCTGCTTTGAATATAATGGGTAAATGCTATCTGAATATCACATTAAAACTGGAAAACATTAAAAACAAACATATCATACAAGATCCAGTAAGTACAAATTCGCATTTGCTCCAATCAAACCTGCTCCCAATGGAAAGGAGTCCACAATACCTCTGGTATTTGTCCCATTTCTCAAGTCAGGCTGAGATGCCAGTTGTTCCTTGACTCCATCTAACCTCTGTTGTAGTTCTTCTGATGTTATTTCTCCTAAAAGAATAAAAAGTTGCTCACTGAAAGTAATTATTTTAACTACTGCTTTATGAGAACTCATGAAAGGTAACACTAATCTTCAGCAATCTGTAGAAGACATTCTATTATTTTCATGTTCTGTTAAACTAAAGACAGTTAAAAATATTTAATTGATACAAGTATATATCATTGTGGTTGTGTCTCTTTTATGTTTTATTAAAATAAAAATATAAGATTTAATTTGAATAATTTAAAAGGTCCTCTCAGTTGATACACTAAGGAATCTATAAGCTCTGATTAACAGATTTTTGTCTGAGATAAAAAGAAATTTAAAAGGCTGGATTTCTAGCGAACTTTGAAACTGTATTTGAATTTTACCTCAGTAGCTCACTATATGGGTTATCAATATATGATGTGCAAATATGCAATATACAAATGTATACCGTACATTCAAGTTTTAATTAGATCATTTTAATCAGTGAAAAGAATTTGCATAAAATTCACAAAGCACACTGGACTTTTGGAATATTATTAATTCAGCTAAATAAGTAAATTATAATACCTCAAAAGAGTTAGAATTGGGTTCTAAGTAATATTTTATTTGTACAAATATTACTTAAAGGAGAAATAGGACCATATATGTAAATTTTTGACACTATTATGTACATTAAGCTATTTGTTAGCTTGGCATTTGTATAACAGTGCTCCATGTCCAAGATTCATACTTAATTATCAAATACAGAAGTAAGACAGTGATTTTCTATTTTGTTATATTAAAAGGTTCTTAAATTTAAAAATAGTGCATTATATTTTGGGAGAGGGAAGTAGGAGAAAAAAGCCCTCCTTATTTTAAAACTCCTCTTATAATGATAGAAAAGGTGTCTCCTCTTTCACCCATCTCTTACCAGGGGTGCCTAAAAGATTGTGGTCTCTCATTAGCCGATAATCTTCATCACTGAGTTCATTAATAAACTGATAATAGGCTTCTTCTCTGTGGAGACGCTCTTGCTGCCATCTTCTCTCATTTTCACGATGATTATGGTCCTGAGATGAGGTTTCTTCACTACCATCATGCGATCTAGATCTAGAGGTATTCATACTGAGATTCCTGGCTTTCTGTTCAAACAATATATATTAGATTCAAGCTGTTAGTCATGGACTACACATGGCTTCATGTTTTTTAACTTATATCTCTTTATTTTCATTTTTAAATTTCATTCTCCAGTCATATATTTCATATGCCAAATTTTGCACTGAATAACTCACATATAAAATGAAAAAGAGCTTCTTAGGAGACAGACTACAACTGGACCTACTTCTTTGCTCAAAGCCATTGTTTACCTCAGACTAGATCTGGTTTCACCACTCATTTCTAATTCCTGAATACCAAAGTAATTATATCCCCCCCCTTTTTTTTTTTAACCTCTTGCACTCTCTGGTGAAGTTGATCTAAAAGCCCTCCCTGATGTTTCAAATATCTGGGTACTTCATGTTAGCATATAAATTTTAAGCTGAATTATGCACTTTAAGCATAATTTTAAATTATGTTCTTTACTTAATAAACAAAGAGCTATTGGGAGGCTATGGTTTACATTTATTTCCAGCAAAGGTATTCTTCCCAAAATAAAACCCATATTTGTAATATTACCCTCCATTGTACTTTGTTGAGGTAAAAATAATTTAGCCTACTATATCTACTGAATAGACTTGGGGTTAATCTCTTCTTAAACCTAACAGGAAACAGTACTCAATGCATGGCTTTGAGGACAGTGAATGCACAGCAGAGTACTCTGTGTCTCCCCATAGCAAACCTCATCCCCAGGCCTGGAATAGTTAGTCCCTGAGGTTTCAGAGTACCAGTGAAACTTCCTGGCCTTGCCTAGGCAAACCTTATTTTTGGATTATACTTCAACATCATTTCTTAGAGGCTTATTTTTAAACTGTACAGAAATCAATGGAGAAAATTATTTGTTTCATAAGTATTTCAGAAATTTCTTAAACACATGTATTTAGGGAGTCAACAGTTCTCACTTGGAAAGGGACCAACTTACTTGAGAAAAATTTTTTTATTTAAATTCAATTAATTAACATATAATGTACTATTATTTTCAGAGGTAGAGTTCAGTGATTCATCAGTGTTACATAACACCCAGTGCTCATTATATCGCGTGTCCTCCTTAATGTCCATCACCCAGTTACCCCCCTCCCCCACCCATCCCCATTCAGCAACCCTCAGTTTGTTTCCCTCGATTAAGGGTCTCTTAATGGTTTGTCTCCCTCTCTGATTTTGTCTTGTTTTATCTTTTCCCCTCTTCCCCTATGATCCTGTTTTGTTTCTTAGATTCCACATACAAGTGAGATCATATAATTGTCTCTCGCTGACTGACTTATTTTGCTTAGCACATAATACCCTCTAGTTCCACTCGAGGAGAATTTTAAAAGTACAGATGCCCAGATCTCATCTCTAATCCTAAATCAGAGTTTTCCAAGGTAGGGCCCAGGCCTATCTTTAAGAGCTAATTTGGGTGATCTGTGGATAAATAAACTATTCCTTGACAACTTCTGGATGTTAATAAAGGGTATCTGTAATACAGCACATGACTTAATGGCGGTTGGGGAATCAAATAGCTAGGTGACCAGCGAAGCAATTGTTGCAACTCTGATTCAGTGTTTAAGCAAACTACTTTAAATACAAAATAAATTATTCTGCAAGTCTAAACTACGTATGAGTAAGCAACTATCCAATTTCACTTACACCTAACATTAGGTTACACATTCAAGGATTTTATTACAGTGATTATTACATAGTTTTTTAAAGGAAAGATCTAGTAGCACTACCCAATCACACACCAATTAACACTATTAAAAACTCAAGATTTCTTTCCATTTTCAGAATAAACAGGACTAGGCCATCATTAGCAAGGAGCACATTTGGCAGGTACAGCAGTCATACGATTTTTTTGTACTAAACAATCAAAAAAATTGAAAGCTATTATAAAATCAAGCTACCCTACTATTATTCAAAACTTTAAGAGCTTCTTCTCAAAGGTAATTTTCTTATACAATTTACCACAATTAAACAAAGTGAGTACCTTATTTTCCTTTCAACATGCTTTTAATATAGGCAATGGCATCCATCCTTCAATTGTTTGTGCTTTTTTTGAGAGCTGCCCATCTGAAGCAATAAGAGAGAATGGAATTATTCAATAAATTGTCTCTTTGAAGGACAGGAATGGCTAGCAAAGTCAAAGCTCTGCTGCAAAGTCAAAGCAAAATCTTCAGTGGATTTGGTTAGACACTCCCCTAGAAAATTAGATCCCCACACAATTAGGTCCTTAAAACCTCCCGCAAGGCCCTTTTCTCACACAACAGAAACTAGGCCTTCCCTCCTACACTGTCACAGCTCCTGGGATTACAACTCCCCCTCTCAGAGGCCTTCCTTCCTACCCTGCTCCCATTCAGATGTTACCAGGGTTAGGTCTCTCCAGTTACTTCTGAACGTTCACTTTCTTGCTACCCCCGCCCTCCGTCCCGCTACTGGTTCCTTCCCTGGCCGTTGCAACCGAAGCTCGCGCCGGGGTACGGTTCGCACCACAATAAGCAAACTAGGCTCAAGGGCCCAACCAACCTCTTCCCGACCAAGCCTCAAGTAACGCTTCCCTTAGCGACCTGGATTCCCACAGGGAGGCAGGTGACAGACGGCTCATCTGAGCCAATCACCAGTTAGGGGGGCGCATTAAGAGAGCAGTTAACCAATCGGAAAAGAGATGGGGGCCAAGGAGGGCTGGCTTTCCTCAGCGTCTCCCGGAAGTAGTGGACGAGCCGGGAGCCTTCCCGCCAGCTCACCTCGTCCGGAGCTGGGCCGTCCTCTTATTCCCCTAAAGAAAGTCTGTGGCGGGTGGCGCGCCTCTGGGGTCCTGGAAGGCTGTGACCCACGGGCGAGAGGGGCTAGCCTCCGGAGGCCGCTGGGCCCTCTAACCGTTGACTGAAAGGAGAAGCCGGAAGCCCGTGCTGCAGCACTCCGTGCCGGAGTCGTACAGCTGGCTGGGCGGCTCCGGAGGAGGGACGAAGGCCCCGGCCCTCCTTTCCTCACTGCCAGGTGCCTCCTCGGACGAGTGGAGACGCCGCACCGCCGGCTGGACGCTCGCGGGTGCGTTTGAAAATTGAGTCCGGAGGGATCCTAGGGTGCTAGCGTTCCGCGTTCCGCCCGGTCAGTGCTCGCGGCCAGGGTGGTAGTCCCAGGGCCTCCACGAGGAGCGCCAGGTACCGGGCCCCTCAGCGCTCCTGCAGCTGCATAGCTCCGGGGACACAGCCTGCTCTCCACCCTTGGGAAGCAGTAGCTCCTGCTCTGCTCTTTGTTGTGGCCTGTTTGCCGAGCCTGGCTACGAGTGCCACCGAACAGCAGTCTGTCCCTGTCTCTTTGCTGCTTGGGTACCACGTTAACTAATCAACCAGGCTCTTCCCTTTATTGCTCACGGGCACCTGGAAACTACAAATCCCAATCATTCTAAAGTGCTTTCGTTTGTGTTTCTTCACTTTTCCTCTAGGAAAGCGCTTGGAAACTCCCCGCTTTCATGTCTCTAGTTTTATTGTTGAGATGTGACGCTGTGGTTAAACATGAATTAAGCCCTTGAGTGGGGCTCAGCCCAATCTGGTGTAGGCTCCTTTCCTTACAGCCCTACCATCCAGAAGACTTCATCACTGCACAGTGCTCACACTTATTCTTCATTCGTTCGTTCATTAACTCATTCATTCATTCCTGCCTTAATTTTTGAAGAGCTAGTCTATCGCCACCATTAAGCGACAGCTTGGGTAGAAGAGGTAGTCTTAAGCATGGACTTAAGTAGAGGTAGATAGACAAGTTAAAAAAAAAAAATCATATCGTTATAGCTGCTAAAATGGCCCTTTGGGATATCTCTCCTGCCCGTGCTGCAGCACTCCGTGCTGGAGTCGTCCAGCTGGCGGGGCGGCTCCGAAGGAGGGACGAAGGCCCTATAGACTGATCTTTTCTTGAACTACTTTAAGTCCCCCAACAATCATATGGGAACTCCTAAGCAATCCCCAACCCCACTTCTACCTAGTTTCCTTTATCTCCCAAGACCCAGCTCATTCCTCATCTTCAAGGAACTTTTTCTGACATCTCTGAAGTGAAACCCTCACTCCACCCTCCAGCCCAACATTCACACATAAAACTATGCAGATGTCCCTTTGGGGTCTCCCAGAGCATCCTCTGTATAACTCTAGCATATATTCATTTACTTGACAAATATGGGGTGCCATATGTACTAAGTGCTAGTGATAACAGCAGAGGATAAAACAAACGAGGTCCTTGCCCTCCTTTTCAATGGAAAAAAGACAGCCAGTGAGCAAGCGCTCGCAATGATTTTCTGTTAATTTATATATCTCCTCCATCTAAGACTCTAAAATCCGTAAATTTGAACAAATAGTTTTATTCATTTTTATAGTCCCAAAATTTAGCACATCTTCTGACACTTTGTCCTCAGCTTACCGCATGGAGGAGCAGAGAAAAATACAAACTTTCTGCAAACAGGATTAATGCATGTTAGTACAATGACCTCAGAAATTGTGAGTACAAATCAGAGAAAGCCCCAGGTGAGCTATCTAAATTTCAAGCAGAAATCATTTGAAATATCTACACGAGAATTTTTAAAGAGCATACTAGTCCATCAAGTGCAAATACCTTTAAATATTAAAGTGAAAGACATGTATATATCCTAAGAGTCAAAAAATGTAAAATCCAGTCAAGTGATTTTAGCTGGTGGGAAGCTGCAGATTTTTGTGAGTGAATGAATAATGTATGTAACTTGAATCCAACACTCTGCTTCAGTTTTTATAGCCCAAGACAAAGTGACTATAAAGGAGCAGGAGAGATGGTAATTGTGAGAAACAAATCATTCTGGACATCTGTATTCCAGGTTTCATAACCTGCCCAAATCTCTGTTCTAATGAGTCTGAGTTAACTGGAATGACATTTGGCCTTTTTAGTGTGTATACATCTTTTAGCTCCAGGGCTTTTAACAATTAAGAATAAAAAGGTGTAGGCATGCCTGGGTGGCTCAGTCAGTTAAGCTTCTGCCTTTGGCTCAGATCATGATCCCAGAGTCCTGGGATTGAGTCCAGTCGGGTTCCTTTCCCAGCAGGGAGTCTGCTTCTCCCTCTGCCTGCTGCTCCCCCTGCTTGTGCTCTCTTGCTCCATCTCTTTCTCTCTCACACAAATAAATAAATAAAATCTTTTTAAAAAAGAATAAAAAGGTGTTAAGAGAATGTAAACCATGACATTAAAATGATCCTCTGTATATTTGATGTTCTTATCTTCTTTAAATGATTTGGCATCTTACAATGGCAACCTTAATTAAAATGCAAAATGCGAAATGAATAGTTGCTTTAGAATCCATATCGGTTGAAATCTTACTGAGTTTGTAGACAGTATGGGAACAACTAAGAGAAGTTCAGGTTCATTGTATGAATTTTTACAGTTAATTTTAATATTATTATTTAAGGATTCATTGAAGGCATCAAATCCAACACTTGAAGTACTTATGGAAGGAACATCTCTTACAGAACGGACCGAAGAGGAGAGCTACCCCCTCTTAGGTTGCCTGTGGAAGTCCTGAGTCAAGAAGCTACTGCATCAGCTGCTGCCATAGAGTGATCTAGAAGCCAACATCCAAAAACATCTGCCACCACATCCATTAGTTGTCTCTTAACACCATCAAAGCTGGGGATTGGGTGCTGAATCCTACTGCAGAAAGTCCTCCCTTCTCTATAACCTTGCTTACCATCAGAGAAACAGCCCCAAGTGGATAGAAATATGGCCTCTGCTTTGGCTCCATTTCCCACATCTTGGTGAATATGTTTTAACTGGCAGAATCTAATTTGCATTAGAACTATAGTTGCAGAAAAGTCTGGGTAAGGTCACTTTTAATATGCCAGCCTTTGTACAAGATGGCACACTAGAAGAAGGAAAGAATGGAGGTTGAGTGAGGAAATCCAAAGTATCCAAGACTAGTCTCATCAATTTCACCTACCCAGTTAGGCCAGAGATTGTGTCTTGGGTCAGGTTCTCTAGAAACAGAGCCTGAGACAAGGATTCTTGTTCAAGTGATTTATAAGTGAAGTATTCTCCAGAGAAGGCAAGTGAAGAAAACAGGATTGGCCAGGAAGACAAAGAAATAAGAAGGAACTTCAGCTGATCCCACAAAATTCATCAGCAAAAAGACCAATTTTTTTGTGTCTCCATCCATTGGATAAGGTTTGCAGGGACAGAAGGACAATTCTCTAGGGAAGGTGGCATCCTGAATTGTTATCCAACATTCAGAGCAGCTGAAATATAGATGAAATAGCTTATAAAGTGGAATTGGACAGAGCACACACAGAATTTACTCTAGTCTGCTCTTTGTAATGCATAGATCACTTACTTTTCACATTAAGTTACTCCATCCAAGCACAATTTTTTCAGAATTCTTATTAGTAACAATTTCTGGGAAATTTTACAAGAGGAGGGTAATGGGAAAAACCATGGTCCCTACTGCTGCAGTTGATCTCACAGCCACAACTGTTAGCCATTATCTCCCTCCTCCACCACCCCTTCCAAATCCCCTCCACTTGGGCTATCACTTCTGTTAGCATAGGTGGTTTGACTGATGGATTAACCCAGGCACTGCTCCCTAAGGGGTTTCATACCCTGGTTATCATGTTCTTATCAGGCTGCAGTTTGGCTGTACTTATCTGTTTATAGTTAAAACCAGGCTTGGGAATACCAAGAAATGCCCCCAGTGGACTTCCTGAATGCCAAGCACATTCCTCTCCATCTCCGTTACGTAGCAGTGGCCCCAACTCCTGATGATTTGTCAGTCTTCCGGCATTAGGAGCCCCAAGTGATCCAGGAGCAACCATGGCTTTAAGTATAGAGGGATTCTTGCAGGAGGAAGCCTCCCACGTCTGATCTCCAGGCTGGCAGGGCCCAAGGTTGTAGAAGGGAAACACAAAGTCTCCAAATGGATCCCTGGGAGTGATGGCAAGCAGGCCACTCCTACTTCTATCCATGGATCTCTGGCCCCATAAATTCTACCTACTAGGGACACCAACACATATTATGGCCATTTCTTTAAGAAGTAAAGGTAAGGTACCAGCCTCATGAGCTCATTTTGAACCTGGAGCCTCAGCTGTGTCCTCACCAGCTGTAGGTGTGCTCCATCTATCCAACAGCTCCCTCAGTGTGTATGGTGTGTGTTATGACCAGTGGAGCCTTGGGTCAAGTGCCTGCCACTACATCCTCTTGCTGTAAAGTGAGCCCCTAGGGTGGAGGCAGCATTATGTGAGATCCCATGTCAGAATATCAGACTTTGATGCTGTATTATGGGAGAGCCTGTGTCAGAGTCCTCGGATAGTGGTGCTGGTTGAGGTGCTGTGGGCAGAAAAAGCAGACCCATTCTTGGAATACAGGTCAAATCCAGTCATGATGACATAGTACTCTGCATCAGGAGGGCCTGATGTGTCAACTTGCCACACAGCCACTGACCTCCTTGAAAGCACAACATTGGGCTCCGCTGTTGATAGTCAAATATTTAGTAGTAGCAGTAGTTATGCTGAATTGGAGAGAGTACAAGTTATTGTGTCCGTACATCCCTCCATCTCTGCCACTATGGCTGTTCCCTCCATTAGCCTGCTGTGGGAGAACTTGGGTGGCCAATGACACAGGCTGACTGACACCTGCCAGCCTAGTCATCCTACCTGCTTGGTTGGTTAGTGGCCTCTTCAGCAATGGACACTCTCTAGTGGGCATTAGGTGCCATAAAATGTCTTCACGTCCTGTCCCTCCCATAGATCCAGCCACCTGTCTCTTCTCCAACCTTCCCCCATTCTTCTTCCAACTCCTGACCAGTAAGCTGAGCTAACATTTGTCACTATAGAGTACACCCTTCCCCTGGCCCCTTCTGTCTCCAAATGAAGTTGATGACTAAATACTCCGCCAACTGGGAAGATTCCCCTTCACCACTCTCTTTCAGAACCACCTCCGAGCAGGGCTTAATCACAGGAGCAGATATTTTCAGCTTGTCGCCATGCAAAGGTGACCCATCCGTGAACCAAGCTTAGGTTTTTCCTTCTGTGTCAGCTGGTCAC